AATGGCTCGAAGAAAAAAATCGGCGACTTCAGAGGTAGCACCAGATAGAAGAGCTGCCGTCTCCGGGTAGCGAGTAAGGTGGTCCACGGCAGTAACAATCCAACGGTGACCGGCTGGCGTAAGCAGAAGAGGTCTGTATAAGTCTATGCCCACAAATTCAAAGGGAGTGGACGGGCATGGCAGCAGATGCAATGGTCCCGCGGGAAGACAGTGATACGTTTGCGGTGCTGGCATGATGCACAGGAAGCCTACTTGGCGACAGAAGTGGAGAGGCCAGGCCAAAAGCAGCGAGTCTTGAGGCGGTCATAAGTCTTGTGGGACCCTAAGTGGCCAGCTGTCGCGTCGTCATGAAACACCTGTAAGACTTCCAGACGAAGTGAGTGAGGAATGATGGGAACCCATTGGTTACCGAGAGGATGGTAAATTTGCCGACATAATGTTCCATCTTGAAGCTTGAAACGGGCAAGTTGTCGTCATAGGCGGCTGTTTGGAGCACGCGATAAGCCAGTGTGCCGATCGATGATTGTGCGGCAGTAGGTATCGGCATGTTGGAGCGAAGCGAGATCTGTGGACGAAAGAAGGTCCGCCGAGGCAATGAACTCTTTTGAACTAGCAGCTGCCTGCTTAGTGATTTTGGTGGGCGGTGACGAACAGATGGAAGATGACACTTCGGCGCTTTGCGAGAGCGGGCAACGTGACAAAGCGTCGGCATCTTGGTGCTGTCGACCCGACCTATATGTGACGCTGTATTCATACTCTTGCAATCGTAGTAACCAACGGCCAAGGCGTCCCAACAAATTTTTGAGAGATGATAACCAACACAAAGCATGATGGTCAGTCACTATTGTGAAGTGCCGGTTGTATAAATAAGGGCGAAACTTTTGTACGAACACACGATGGCGAGACACTCTTGCTCAGTAATGCTGTAATTTCGCTCAGCAGGTGAAAGAGTATGGCTCGCGTAGGCCACAGACTTATTCTTCGAAAGCGTGGTTCCGCTGAAGAAGGACAGCACCAATGCCAAGTCCACTTGTGTCAGTGTGTAGCAGAGTAGGTGCAGCAGGGTCGAAATGGTGAAGCACTGGCCGTAATGTGAGGCATCGCTTGAGGGTGTGAAAAGCTGCTTCGCAGTCGTCTAACCAGACAAAGGGTGCGCTCGTGTTTAGAAGTTTGTTCAGAGGAGCCGCAATAGTAGCGAAATCACGCACAAAGTGGCAGAAATACGACGCCAAGCCAAGAAAGCTGCGGATGTCTTTGGGTGTGGTTGGTGTAGGAAAGTGCAGCACTGCGGCAACCTTGTCGGGATCGGGCTCAACGCCATGTTTACTGACGACGTGACCTAACACCTTGATGCTGTGACTGGCAAACCGACACTTCTTAGCGTTGAGCTGGAGATCGGCCTTAGCTAAACACGTAAGGACTTCGTCTAGCCGTTCCAGGTGCTGTGAGAAGCTGGAGGAAAAGATGACAATGTTGTCCAGGTAGCAAAGGCAGGTCTTCCATTTTAATCCCCGCAGTACCGTGTCTGTCATTAGTTCGAATGGGGCTAGGGCATTGCACAGGCCAAAAGGCATCACATTGAATTCAAAGAGCCCATCTGGCTTAGCAAACGCAGTCTTCTCTTTATCAGACTCGTGCATTGGAATCTGCCAATAACCACAGCGCAAGTCGAGACTTGAAAAGTACTCGGCACCTTGTAAAGTATCAAGAGCGTCGGCAATGCGAGGCATTTGGTAGACGTCCTTACGAGTAATTTTGTTGAGTGATCTGTAATCAATGCAAAACCGTACCGAGCCATCCTTTTTTTTTTTTGACTAGTACGACAGGAGAAGACCATGCACTTGTCGAAGGCCTGATGACGTTGCGCGCGAGCATGTCGTTGACTTGTTCTTCTATAAGCTTGCGTTCAGAAGCCGACACACGGTAAGGGCGGCGGCGAATGACACGGGATCCGTCGGTGTCGATACGATGGGCGGCCACTGTTGTTTGACCCAGACCATCGGAACAAACGTCAAAGCATGTTTTGTGCTTCATTAATAACGCTAGTAAGGCATCAGTTTGCGTTGCGTTGAGATGTTCACACAAAGTGGCCTTGAGAGCAGGAGATGGATTTTCAGCTGGCATACACTTTGAGAATGACAAAGCAGATGAACCAGTGACGACACAAACGGGGGCTTCTTCGGTAATGCTGGGAACAGTGGTCCCCTCTGGCAGAAGTAGCGGTTCTGGCGTCGTGTTGCAGGCGGTGATGCTTGCATGACCACGTGAGAACCGCACTAAACAAGATGCGATGGTGATCCCTCGAAAAATACAGCGCTGGAAAGGAAGAACCACAACATCACCATCTAGAATGTCTCGTGACTTGATTGTAAGGACACGTTCTTGTCCGGGAGGCAGGAGGAAATCCGCAGCTGTGACAAGGTTGGGCGACGAAAGGTCGGCAGCAGAAGAAAGCTCAGTGTCCGTAATACGAATGAGGGGCCGACCACACGAAATTACAGCCGACGCACCTGACAAGAAGTCCCAGTCTAAGATTATCTTATGAGCGCACGAAGACAGCACAGCCGATTGTACGTGATGACGGATTCCATCGATGAGGACACGAGCAGTACACAATCTGGTCGGGCAAATTGGACTGTCATTAGCGCCGCATAACATGGGACCGGAATAAGGAGTTTGCACTTTACGCAGGCGAAAACACAATTCACGATCAATTACCGAACTGGCGGCTCCAGTGTCTATAAGGGCATCAACAAAAACACCTTCCACACAAATAGGCAGTAAATTAGCTGGGCGAGACGAAGGAGTCGTAACGTTTCGACAACAAGCAGTTTTCCCTCCAGAAACTGCACCTTCTAGTTTTCCGAATCCAGAGAAATCGGCGCGGGACGCAGGGGTGATGACGTACGCCGAAACAATGATAGAGAACGGCGGCGAGATGAATGAGAAGGATGAGGTCCAGCTTGAGACCGTGGAGGGGTCGGCGACGGACGGGATGTGGACGGATACGGTGCGGGATCGTATTCGTAGGGTCTCGGGGCAAAGTCTCTTTCGTAAGCTGGATAACCACGACGTTCATCCTGCTGACGGCGGCGACAGAAACGGGATATATGACCCCTTATGCCACAGTAGAAGCAGACGGGACGCGGAGGACGCCATGTAAAATAGTGGGGTAGCCTTGGCACTTGCGTTGCCATCGCAGCCACATGGTCGCATCCGATGTCCGCAGGCACGGTTGGAACTGGTGCCGGGGCCCGTGATGCAAATTCTGCGTACCAAGGCACCGGATAGCGCACAGGAGACGGGGCATGTGCAGCGCTTGTCATTGATGCCAGTTCGTTCTTGATTATCTCACGCAGGTTGGGAGGAGGCGGGTGGACAGACACAATGGTTGGGTTGCCTGGAATAAGGCCGTGGAGTTCCTCTCTGACAATTGTGCGGATAAAGGCTCGCATTTCATGCTGCCCGGTAAAGCGAGCGTCGCAGGAGTCGTGTGGAAGGCGCATGGAATAAAGCGTGTCAATGCGTTGGCATATGGTGGTGACGTCGCGAACGGTAGTTGGGTTCTGGATAACGAGAGCATTGAAGGCCACAGAGTTGATACCTTTCAGTAGGTGTCGGATGCGCTCCGCCTCCGTCATGTCATTTTGTGCTCGGCGATAGAGAGCCAGAACATCTTTAATGTAGGTCTTGTGTGATTCGTCATCCCCTTGGATGCGGGTTGCGAGCTTCTGTTTCACTACCGCAGAGCATCCTGCAGATGTGCCAAATACCTGACGGAGATGCCCCGTGAAGGCCAACCAATCGGAGAAATTGCTCTCGTGGTTGTAATACCAGGTTTTAGCAACGCCATCAAGGTAAAAAGGAACGTAGCACAGTTTGTGCGCCTCGTCCCAATAATTACACACGCTGGTTCGATCATAACTGTCCAGCCATTTTTCGATGTCTTCGTTGCGAAGGCCGGAAAATACCAGAAAGTCTCGATGAGAGGTACTCACGGTGTAGTGAAGCCTAAGTGGCTGAGAAGGAGCGGTTGCAGCAGCGGACGCGTTGGGTTCTGCCATCGCTGTTGCTTGAGGGCACAACCGTCGACCAGATCGGAGCTCCAGGGGTGACGGGTAGAGCAGGAGGACGTGGGAACCAAAGCACGCTCTACCACTTATGAGACCATGTCCGGTACGGCAGAACCCAGGTTATCTCTTTAATCCAGGTGCACGAGCCAAAGAGACCCAGCCCGCGTGACATACGATGATGATCACTACAATGGTATTGTCATACAGATGAAGATGATGTACATAGTCAGTGCTCACAATATATATATATATATATATATATATATATATATATATATATAACATAACTCTCTAACTTTCCACGCCTTAATAAGAAACATTTTAAAAGTTAGACGACAAAAGCTTCAGCAAAGATGAATTACTTATTTACCTCTGTCAAAGAGAATGTATTCGATGACAAAGACCAATTTTGCTCTCTTTAACAGCCTACTTGTTCAAAAAGCTGAATAATGCATTTAAGTTAAATAAAGTAACAATCTAACCTTGTGATCTTTGGCATATTCATTGTTGTAGGACTCGGCAATTTTTCAGCAATAAACAATTACTATAGTTTATTACAGTGCATTTACTAGTTAACCTAATTAGCAATGTAGCTTTTAGTTATGATTTCCCAGTGTAAGAATAATCACTCTTAGTGCTAATATTACTTTGTATTGGGAAATTTTATTTTGAACCAAAATTTAATAATTATATCTTGATTTACCCAAAAATATTATAAGAATGTTTCCATTCCAGCCAAACTTTTTTTTCTTCTCATTCTTGTCTTTTTCCTCATTCCATTTCGATGCAGTGATTCTCATACACCTGGTAGCCTTGGAGGATCTCTCAAGCATGTACCCTTATAGCATTGCAACAAACACCAAAGATCGAATGGTCAATACTCAATTAATAATATTTTGTTCCAACTGAACAAAAGAAGTACTTCACCTTTATACTTGGACAGAAGTTCCCTCAGCTCCGGGTCTTCAGCAAAATCAGATGTGACATTAACCTCAGTAATATCTACTGTCACACCCGATGCAGTGAATGTGAGGGTGATGTGCGAGAACTGTCGAAAGTCTGTTCCACTCTTGACAATGTTTTTTCCATTCACCTATATCCCCAACATACCCAAATAAGGACTTCAATCAACAAATATAGATGGGATATGGCAGTAAGAATGCAGTGCATTCATAAACACAATCATACATCAACAAATATAGATGGGATATGGCACTAAGAATGCAGTGCATTCATAAACACAATCATACACAGTAGCCAACAAGCAAACAAGCATTATTATAATTGTTGAGATCTGACATGCCAAAGCCATGATATGATCATGAGGCACACTTTAGTGAGGGACTCTAGGCGAATTTCGACCATTAGGGGTTATATAACTTGCGCCTAGATCTTGGCACAAATCCTATATGTGTGCCTATATCTTAGGCACACATAAAAAATGTCAAAAGCCGGAAGATAAAAAATCGGTATAACAACCTTTTGCTAACTCCTGGTGATGATTAGGATTGGAAAAGCATTTGCTTGAGACTAGTTTACAACTAATTAACAGACAAAAGTTACATTTCCCAATAAATAAATAAAGAACTCAATTACTAAAAAGTTTATAAAAGCTAAATAAATGCAAATAAACATAGTTGAAGAAAACTTCATTACGCCTGAGCCACATTACTGATGCTCTTCTTGGGGACCCTTCAACATTCAACACTTATGAATTTCCTCAGAAGCCTTTTTGTCTTCTTTGATGAGAACCCACACATACATTACTCGACAACTATTACAGTTTGTACAGATGATAAAACTCAAAAGTCTGAGAGATTTGGCAACTGTCCAGAAGGTACAATGAATTGCACCAGCTGGAGGATGTGCTCAAAAGTGACTAAGCTAAGTGACTTAACACTAGATCGCAAACATGTTAAATGGAGCTCTTACGGAAGATACTTCATCGCCTCACCTCTCTCAAAAAAAGTCAAGTGATGATGTACTGATGCATCAATCCATAGTCTTCCAGATAAAAAAAACGCTTTTACAATCTCTCTTTCATTCTCTGTTCTCACTTTTTTCAAAAACATTGTTTCACATAGTAGAGAATTGCACTTGCTCTCATGGCACTTGCCTGGCAGTGTACAGCCATGAGGCTATCATACCCATTCTTAGCCTTGTATGAACGCTGTCTTGCTTTGTCATTAAATCATTGCCCTGTTTGCCCTGTGAGTATCTTTCCACGTGTCAACGGTATTTCACAGACAACATCAGAATGGCATTCAGTAAACCTATGCTCGTCACAAATGTTGCATGGTCAACTAGTCTTGTTGCTTCTAGGACGCACAATTTTTTGGACATGTCCTTCGTAAGTCATGTGAGCACAACGTCAGTCTAACAAACCAGATAGAAAGATTAAAAGATGCTGCATATCCCAACAGCGTCTTCATACCCGTTTGCGAAACCCTTCTGTAGGAAGTGCAACAAAACACAACCAAAAGGAAAACAAAATGATCAAAGACCATTGCATGTTATGTCAAGCTCCAATCAATGGAATAAAACTGCCTAAGGATATTGTTTGTACAAGAACCCACGACGAATTCACCGATAAATTAAAAGCTCATCTGCATGTTTGAGCAATCCTGTATAACTGCCTCAGATGTACAACATGTGCACATCGTGATTTTTCTGGCTCACTGTATAGCTGTGTCACTTGACCACTGTGTGGGAGAAAAATGTTCTGCCTCATTGTTCTCATTTTCCTTTTAGTGCAGTTTGTCTTTATAATAACATTTCTATGTACTTTTTCTAATTACATTACAATGTTCTTTTCAATCTTTTTTTTTTTTGCACGATGATATTCAGTTTTGCAAACCTTTCATTACTTTAGTGCTTGCGGCTTGTGTTGATTTTATGTATGTACTATGCTATTACCCCCCCCCCCCCCTATGTAATGCCCTTAAGCCTTTAGGGTAGATGAATAAATAAAAAAAAATAAATATCGTACGTACATAAGGTGTCTGACAATTAAAATAGTGACTAGATAGATATCAATTTGTTGTTTTCCACCCCTCACAAGTTTTCATAAGTGTGTCCTAAATAGCAACAAGAGTAGTCGACCATGTAACATTCGTCACTGGCAAAGGTTTACTAAATGACATTCTGATGTATATGAAACACCGTTGATATGTGGCAAGATACACAATAGACAAACAGGGCAGTGCTTTAATGGCTGAGCAAGACAGCATGCATACAACGATAAGAATGGGTATGGTAGCCACATGGCTGTACACTGAAAAGAACGAAAGTGCAGTCCTCTGTTCCAAGAAACAAGGTTTTTAAAAGAAAGTGAGAACAAAGAATGAAAGAGAGATCATAGAAGCATTTTTTTATTAGGAAGAATTGAAGCATCAGTACACTATCACTTCCCCTTTCCGAGAGAGAGTATTCATTTCTGAGTTAACAATGTTATGCATAGTCGCACCCGTGCTGTCATCCATGCACACTTATCTAGCATCCAGTATAAGAGCGGCCAGAGCACCTTTAATAAATTCAGTTGAAAGTCAGTGCTCTAGACTGTCTATACTGTTTTTTCCTACCGTTGTCGTACTGTAACTACGATAAAACTTCACAGACAAGACTAAGTATATCATAATTTTATACCATTTCAGACATATTATTTCAATCAATTAATCAATAGCTGTTAACTAATGACCACATGGGTCAAAATTTCTAGAGTGCTCCACTAAAGCGTCTCTCATAATCATATCATGATTTTGGGATGTGAAACCCCAGATATCATTTATCACGATATGCATAGACACTTCACTCAGAAAGGGCAAAATCGAATAAAGCTGCTATGCATATTGACTGCATAAAATAAAGTTGACTAAGAATTCATCCCCATCATAATCAGTCTGACCATGCCCACTGCAAAGTAAGGCCTTTGCCATTTTCCGACAATTAATACTGTCCTGTGCTTGCTGCTGTCATGTTATACCCGCAACTACTTCATTTCAACTGCCCACTTAACTTTTTGTCTATTTGCACATTTGCCTTCTCTGGGAATCCAGTCAGTTACCCTTAATTAACAGCTATTATCCTGCCTACACACTACGTGCCCTGCCTATGTCTTCCCAACTTCAACTATGATATCTTTAGAATCCGACTAAAAATTAGTGCACTTTAAATAAAAAGTTATTATGATAAAAAAAGTAACATGCAGTCCCAAGAAAAGATTACTGATTACAAGTTTTTAGTACAGGTTTTATTTCTCTCTGTATAACATTGGGTACTGCTTTAGCCAGATGTTTTATTGTGAACGTTTACTTTTCCAGACAGCAAAAATAACCAGATGGAATAAATAAGAGGAACAAACTCACTTTTTTGATTTCATAGACATGGTCATGGCCTCCTAGGATAAGGTCTACCTCATCAACATTGGCTGCCAAGTGGCAGTCATTGGGAGTTCTCATGTGGGTTAAAGCTATAACATAGTCTACTCCTTTCTGTAAGCACAAAAACAGTAAAAAAGAAATATTCGTAATCTGCATGGTTGATTGCAGAGAAGAATGGGAATACACTACATATCACACAAGAAATGCCTATGCAAATACAGTGAATAAATATCTCTTAAATGGCTGCAGCTTGGATAGAACAATAGCTTCTAATATGATTGGTTTAGTACTTAAATTCCATGACCCTGTTTCTCTCTCAGTAAACTAAACTACTGTTCCAATAAACAAATTTTCCTGACACCTTCAGGTTCCGCCTATAATGTACTTAGAATTCAGGCTTAGGTGACATTCAAATACAGAGCAAGCTGTTACGTTAAACAAATGTATTAGCCCCCCTTCTTAAATTTTATGATATTGCATAAGAAGCTCTGTTGTCCCTTTATGAACTTAGGTTTAGAGCACAGATAAAAAAAGATTACTGTTGCCATACCTGTTATAAAAAAACAGGTATGACAACAAAGACTGATACCAGAGACATAGTTATCAATTATCCTTGCAGCTATACTAAAAACACTTTCTGCCAGGCTTCGTAGAATAGTACTAGTACAGATGAACAGGGTTTGCTTAGAAATGCTTCTGTTTACAAGACTATACTCGTGAATGACTGGAGCATTGGGAGCCTGGCAAGGGCAAACCACTCACTCGGTAACTTCATGTGAAAAGTCAAACAACATCTTTCTCCCCTTGAACCCTTGTAAAACTATTCTTTTTATGTAATTAGGCTACCTTACTTTTATTAAACAAGATATAATAAATGCCCTTTTCGTGTTTACACAACTGCACTGTCTTTTTTTTTGTTACTAGGAGCACTGAAGATTTAAAAAACTGCGGGTAGTTGTGCAAGCTTTTCCCCCTGCACTAAGTTAGTGATGCCACCCTAAACCAATTAAACTGGCAAGCACAATAGTGAATCCATACTGTTCAAAGTATTAAAACAACCAGCCACCTATGAAGTTGAACCGTACCACCCCTTGTTTATTCGTAGCAATACAAGACCACCGTAAACTAATAAGCATTTCCATAGTACTTGAATAAAAAGCTCACAGTGATTCCAGCAAATCAATGACGAAGGAGCTACAAGAAAAGACAATAGACACTTTCTCAGAATAAGTAAAGCATTTCAAAGGAATGTTCCTGAGCAATGATAATTAATTATTGTGCCACTTTCACGGCTTTCCTAGAAACATAATTCTTTTCTCCAACATAATGCAGAAGAAAGCAAAATATATGCAGACATTTGATGAAGACCATATGTAGTGAGATGAGTTTGTTTCTCACAGTTCTTGAAAACACTGACACGCATAATTTTTATTTGTTAAACTCAAAGCACACAACAAAAATAACACTGAGGATGTTTAAACAATTGTAAAATCTTCCAATGCACATGTCAGTCTCATCTACCATGTGGTCGATCCTGCCTCCTGTGTAGTTTGCCAAGAAGAGAGCAAGTGATTTTCAGCTGTCTTTGAGACGAAATTGTAAATTTCCTCCTATGAGCAAAGTATAAAAACACTTGGTTCCCATGTTCACAAGAGTCCTCACCACTGACTGGCAGTGCTTTCTGGCCATGTTCTAAAAGTGGTTCAGCACACCCTAACAGTGTGAATAAAGAAGACAATTAACTCACTGTGATACTTTAATCAGCTGACTGAATTTCAGTTTGCTGATTACCGTCACACATTATTTATATACCATTTATGAGTTAAATACAATAACTGCCACAACAATGTCTATAAACTAGCCTCCACTGCCACAAAAGTAAGCTTATACTCAATTAGGTAACACATAAAACACCATTCAATTGATCAAATACAAGTGTGTAAATAATATTAGAAAAGTGACATGCCTTTTGCTTTAAAAATCTTGCCAGCCTTCGGCCTTCAGTGACAAAGTCCTTGTATTCAACATCTTCTGGGTCAATAGTTGCAAGTGTTGCAAGCCATTCTTCCTCAACAAGTCCTATCAACCCAATCTGTACAGAACAAGTTACGAATGACAATTCTCAGCATGAGCACAAATAATAGATTTCAGAAGGGTGTTTATCTGGAATAGCCATAGAGCATCCCAGGGAACAAAGAAATACTCTGTGTTTGTACTTTTTATGTCTACATCATTATCAACATAATTTTGCAGATGAGTCTAGGATGCATTTGGAAAATCAAGCAAAAAGCAATGGTTGTTAATGACTCCATAGCAATAACATTATACCTAGAGGCCGGACTTATAGGCACTAAAAACAGGATTTTAGGCGCTAATATAGGCGGACAAAACACTGTTTTAGGCACCCAAAATCGTAAATATAGGCACATTAAGCTTTGACAAAATTCAAGTTTTCGAAGAAATAGTGTGAGATCTGTGTCTAGGACAGGAACGCAAACAGAAATGTTTTAGTTTATGATGGTACAAAAGCGATATAGTTTAGTATAGCCATGCAATTTTTTTCTAATCCAGCTCTCTCATTTTCTAGTCCAGCGTGGTAACTTAAGTATCTACCATCGAATAGACATTCTCCTCGGTCTCTTTTTTTTTTTTTTTTTTTTCGGCATGACTGAGAAAGGCAACACAGGAGCAAATAGTCAGAGCGTTAAAAGGCCAGAAGGGTTTTTCTGCCTCACATTAACTTGATATAACTGCACAGGGTCAATTTCTCTTCTGTTTATGGACACCTCAAAGGGCCCTTTAGCAGGTTTCAGAATTTCAAGCAGGCAAGAGAAATGCATGCACTGGGCGCTCACGATCTCATCTGCCAAGATTTGCAATGCTAGTACGTGCCTAGGAAAGAGGTAAAATTTTGGACTGAACGCCGCTTGGATTTCATCTCACCGGCGCACGCCCCAACAAGGTGGAGGGGACGTAGGCTATACAACAAGTGTAGTGGAGCTCTCACGGAACATCATCGCACAAGGAATAGTCCTGCGTATGTCAAAGTAGTAAGTGACACTATAGAGTTATTCAAATCGATGTGTTTAACTTGTGCAATCTGTTACCTGAATAGAAGTATGAATGTTAACAGAAATATCAAAACCTACGAACGAAATCTATGCACCTTATTTTTTTAACTTCGTACCGAGTGAGATAAGAGTCCAATCTGCCTATATTTTGCTTGTGTTGGTATTCTCGCCATTCTAGCATTGTGCCAATGCCAGCATTCACAGTGCGATTGGTGTGTTTTTGGTGCATCGTCCTTTAGAGCAGTTGCAGCGATGCAACACTGTGCATTCTAGATAAGGATACATGATCCAAGCTAGCCTCTCCAAATGTGTGCGCATATGAGGGATTCATCCCACAGAAAGAGGCAGTACAGTACAGAGAATGCTAAAATGACACAACACCGCACGCGTACTCGACATGGCAAGGGCATGTAATGCGAATGTAACCTTGCGTGCGCATGACATGTTGGTGCATCAGCGTCGTGTGATTTTCCGGCTCTGAGTTGCTCTGATACTGAAGAAGGCAGATAAGGAATTTGGCCTGCAGTCTGCACCGGGCGAGTGGCAAAGGTTGCAAGCTCACCTCCTGCGTAATGCTTTTGCAGCTTGTAATGAACTAATTTTACAAAAATAGTGGCACAAAGATTTTAAATGGGTACGCAGCAACTTCCCCTGTCTATAGGTAAAATTTTCCCCATGACCTAGTGAAGCGCTGTTTGACAAACAAAACAACAACCCCGTGGATATCTTTTTTTTACCTCTACTTTAAACACCCCTGATGAAACTCCACGGTTTCTCATATGTCTTCATTGTCCTGCGGCTGCACAGAAGCACTTCCTGTTCCCTATGCATGCAAGCAGACGCTGCGAAGATGCCGAGCAGATGATGCAACGCGGATTAGTACATGCATAGAGGCTAATCAGCCTTCCTATTGGCTAAGAGGCCTTGTGGTTCTGACAGTGCTGAAAGGAACTTGTGAGATGGAGTATAGGTTCCCCCCAATAGAGTCTTGAATTGTCAATTTTGTCCGGTAGCATAAATACCGGCCTTCAACTGTACTCAAAAACGAAATTTGAGGTTATATGGTGCTTATATAGGTGCCAGTTTTTAAAATGGGCATTTTTAGGTACTTATGCAAATTTAAGCATAAAACTCCAAAATAAACCTTTGTAGGCTCCATAAAACACTATAAAGCTCTTCTTAACTTCTAATTCATGCTCATATAGTAAAGTGGCACAATAGGAATGCATTAAACAAAATAGGCATTTGCTATAACCTGGTCTCTAATTATAAGATTACGACTTCTGTCATCTGTTATGAGACAACTTATAACTTAAGCTTCGTGCATCTAAAGAAATTGAAAAAATTGAAAACCTTAAGGCCTGACAGGACCATATAAACAACGATTTTGCTTTTCTCTTTTAGGTTTTTTTAATCCTTACAGGGTATGCAGGTTGATTTCACATTATTTAAAATACGACATAACTTCTTACAAATCATCCTTTTATTACCCAATCAATAAATATGCTTAATGAGCACAAACAATGAAAACACATGGTATACAAAAAGAAGGTTACTTGCTCTGGTTGAACAATGATCTGCATAATGATGAACTAAGAATGATTGTGAATAAAATCAACAATCACAGTTCAACCTTGTTAAAATGAATAAATTAAAAAAAGGGAAAAAATATTCGTTTTATACATTGAGACTTCACTGCAAAAGCGTGGTATTGCAAGGGCTGATGAAACATATGCCGTACCATGGGAATGAAATACTTGGGTGTTTTTAACGAGTTTTAGGAATAGCAGCAAAATTTAGGCAAGTTTAGATGAATTCACTCATATCAACTCAATTTACAAAGAAATTGTACCGTGGTACCATCTCCAGTAGAATTTATTGATTAATGAATTATACAACTCGATCTTCAATGCTCTAAGACATGACATAGACAAGACTGGTGAGCGAAAACCAAGTACTAATACATGTTGTAGGTGGCTCGTACATAAAATAATAACTGTCCAAACCATGCTTAAATGCTGGAGCTCTTAGAATGGTGACTCTGTTTTACCCTCATCTTTTTCAGTCCTTTAACAAATACTTAATATTTCTCTTCTACTGTCTTTCAGCAACATGAATGAATGATCAACTTTTTAAAACTTCATTTCGTTTTAATGCTTTAATAATGATAACTTATTTAATTAAAGTAGGATTTGTTGGACGTGTGCTACTTGACTATCTTCTGGCATAGTTATGACACATCCGGATATTGTTTTAACAAATCATGTCAAGATCAGCAAGACAAGAAGCCACAAAAACAAACATGGCCTACCTTTTTGCCCGACCGCTCCAGTATTTGAAATTCCTCACCATCAGCCAGCAGCTTTCCAGTTTCGTTGTCCACTACATTGGACATCAGCCAAGGAAATTTTGTCTGTTTTGCAAACTCTGTCAAATTGTCTACACCAAAATCTGCAAAAAGAGAAACCAAATGATAACACACTACTTACAAATGACTTCCACGATGTAGCCATGTTTTTTCCAATAGCAAAATGCAGCATTGCATAATCTACCCAAAACATCAGCTTCTGTGTTTATTTCCAAATGTGCAGATCAGTTAATCCCCCAGTCATTCAGTATTTAGCTGGAAGGGTGTGTTCACACTGGGCAACAAGTTGGTCAATACTGTTCAGAACTCCACAGTAAGTGTACTATTATCAACCTTGTAACAGTCAATAAAAAAATAGAAAAAAGGTCAAGCGCAGTTGAAGCATGGCCAAAGTGAACAACGATTTCAGTGTAGTGCACATTGCCTTGCCTGTTCTGTCATGAGCCTTGCTTTGCTGTGATGAACATAGTGAACCAGTTCAGCTCAGAACACTTACACAATGAATATAGCATAATATAAGGGATTATATATATATATATATATATATATATATATATATATACAGTCGAGCCTACATATAACGGCCCCACTTAAAACGAACTTTTGCTTAAAACGAACAATATCCATGTGACCGTCAAAATATACATTGGTTCAATGGCACAAAATCGCACTTACAACGAACATCTCCGAGCGCCGCTGATCAGTTACAGCGAACAGAGTCAGCGGTCTGCCGACATCCCGGGAAACCAATTTCGACCACCGATCAGGCGTCGGCGAGGTGCCCATACATTCTTATTGTTAAACGCCGATTCTGCCTCCGCACCCCTCTAGTTGCTGCTCTCCCGAACCGCTTTTTGGCCCCGCCACGGTGGTCTAGTGGCTAAGCTACTCAGCTGCTGACCCGCAGGTCGCGGATTCAAATCCCGGCTGCGGCGGCTGCATTTCCGATGGATGCGGAAATGTAGGCGCGTGTGCTCAGATTAGGGTGCACGTTAGAGAACACCAGGTGGTCGAAATTTCCGGAGCCCTCCACTACGGCGCCTCTCATAATCATATGGTGGTTTTGGCACGTTAAACCCCACATATCAATCCATCAATTATTCAATCAATCCAACCGCTTTTTGTTACGCACCCCTCCGTCCTTTGTCCCCCCGCTACTCTGAGCACCCCGCATCGCCAGAAGAGGCCCATGTTTTCACACTGCCACCGATCTTTTGAAGACCGGTCGGCCACGTACCCTGTTTTTGATCGCTGGTACTGTCGTTGGCGTCACCGGCCTGGAGTGACCAGACCATTTGCCAACATCGTCGGCCACCGAGTGTATCCGATGGTCTGCGTCAAGTGCACGCGCGTACGCTACCCCACCGACTCTGATAATTTGCGATTCGTTTCGTGTTTAGGACTTGTTCTCGCTCACTTCGCACTTGGCTTAGCATGCCTTCAGCACGCGTGCGGAAGCGCGAAAACGGCTGTTAATTTGCGCGGAGTGAATAGCGAAATTGAAGTTCGTGAGGCCACGCAAACTCGCCGGCGCAACAAGACGATTTTTTTTTTATCACGGCTGCCGATTTTTCGAATGCCGCCGCGCGCACCGAATGAGACGGCCATGCTTTGCCTTCTGCGCGCGCTGGTACTCTTTTCAAGTTTTTCTACGTGCAAGTTTCGCGGACCTTTCAAGCAAGCTACCCAACCTGCCTCCTTCCCGTGTGTTTTGGTTTTCAAGGTCACCCTCCCGCCGCATTCTCCCCTCTCTTTATCGCACGGAGGAAGGAATCTTTCATTCCTTCATGCTTTATCGCAACTCCTTGCCCTTCTCTCGCAAGTCTGCTCTCCTCTCTTGATCACAACCCATCCACCCGTCTCCACCGCTCCGCGATGCCCGCCACGCTGGCTCGAATTAGTTTCGTTTTTTGACTGGAAACGCGCCCAGAGCTGTTGCACACGTGTGCGCGTCTTGCTCGCTCTTGATGTGCGTGTGCGGTCATGATGGCCGACGGGAGGACTAGCACGCTTTTTCGTGCCACTCAACAAAACGTCGAAAGTAATTCGCGTGTTAGGTGCCGCGTTGCGGAGCGTTTTCTCATAGCTGTTGACCACCTGGCAGCCAACTTGCCGCTTCGGACGTCCCGGTATTCAGCTGTGGAGATGGTGAATATTTCATGGGCGGCGGTGACGGCGACATGTGCGCGAACGCGAGGCCGACTTTGTCAATCGTCAGGCCCGATGCCGAGCCTGAAGCTTCCAAACAGGTCCACTACGGCGGCGATTTGTGGCAGCGCGTCGTCGACTCCGACCTGGGAGAGCGGGTGGGACATCTGTTGCGATGATTTACTTACGGCCGATGATGATGTCGAGACTACGGAACCATGCACGGATTGGGGCATTGTGAATGAAGAATGTGGCGAGAGCGATTTGGAGGAATTGGATAGCGTGAACGATGAAGCTTTGGAGCCAGCGCCTCATGCAGCTTATGCCACGGGCCTCGGGGAACGAGCAGCCTGCCATTTTAAATTAACTCTAGACCGCCCTTATCGTTTCTGCTCTTCGAAATACGTGCATCAAGGACTTTTTGGAGCAAAAAAAAGTTTGTGTTTTCACTCGCAACTTTTTTTAAAAGCTGTGTTTCATTTACTACGAACTTCGGGATACAGCGAACGAATGCCGCGTCACCCTGAGGTTCGTTATAAGCGGGCTCGACTGTGTGTATATATGTGTGTGTATGTATATATATATATATATGTTCTCTTCATTGAGAGTCAGCAACTGTTTGTGAACATCTCTTTTCTCGCCTTTCTTTAAAGAATTTTTTTTTTTGTGATATAAAAACACACACCAGTTTACTCAGGTTACCTCCTATTGCAGTATAAGAGAGTGTTCATGTTCAATGAGCAATGTAAATTTTAACTATGGGAATTGCTTTACTAAATACGAATGCATTAAGGATCAGTGTTGCAGAGTACACAGAGCCAAATGTGTCTAAACAAAAAATTACATGTCCAAAAAGTGCCAGTGACCTGTGTACCTGCATGTACCTGCATTCAATTTCTCTCTTCTTTCATATTTTCTGTGCTGTACTTCTCTTATTGTCACTACTGCTTATAAATATGCAATAAATTAAAATTCTTTGCTTACTGAAATGAAATTCTTACTGAGGTAGAAGTGATACCTGCATTCTCTCGCCAATGTAAGCAAGGACTATGTCTACTTCTTTCACTTGATAGCTAATTAAGGGAGCTCTGTAGTATACAGTGAATGGCATGGAATCTGTTTAGTGTTAAAAAGTATTTGTTAAATATCCTTAAAGGGAAGAGGGCAGATGTTTTAAATGTACTATGCATGAACAGAGTTACTAGAAAGTACATGCTGTCCTGCCATTTTTTTTTCATTAGCTTCCAGCTCTTCATCTTTCCTGCAGTGCTTGAAGCAACAACCAAAACAAAGTTCCTTGCTGTGCTCAAAGCTTCATTAAAATCAAACTAAGGTTTACTTATCATGTGCCGGAAGCTCTGCAAGCCTCTCATTACAAATTTTTTCTGTGAAATGTTAGCACTAGCTGTGCTAAATATGAAAGTATTGACACCTTAAGCTTGTGGGAATTGAGGCTAGCCCGCTGCATTTGCGCGGGCTTTGCCGCCTTTTCTGCCGTTCTCATGTCCCGACATGTCTGCCCTCCTTGCTGTCTTCCGCGCTGGGAAGGGCGGAGTGACGTTTAACTCCCTCACCCGGAAGCGGATGTGGACTGTGGCGCCGCGCGCGGGGACCCCCGAGAGGTTTTCGCGCGCTGCGTCGGGAGCGGTCAGATACTCTCCGGGACAGCAAACGGTGAGCCACGCTATCTTTTCGTCCGTCGGCTCCCGTCAGTCGGGGGCTCGTCAGACTTCGCTGACGGCGCCTCGCGCCCAAGGCGAACGCTCACCCGCTGTTGCCCCGCTGCGTACGCACGGCCGAAGGGTGGTACGGTGTCCTAGTGCGTGGCCTCGCTACGCCGACCCGTCTCCCTTCGAAGCCAACGCGAGCGCCTTTGCCCTCGCTCGAGCAACCGGGCCTTTGTTCCGGTGTCTCCGTGGATCACCTTTACCGCGGAGACGTGCTCGTGGCACCCCTTGTGTAGTACTTTGTGCCCGTGGCGTGGATAAGCCTACTTGCTTTCCCGCCGCGCCTTTTTGCAACGGGCTGTACTGCGTTTGGTGTTGCCACAATAAAGTGTTGCGACTTGAGCAGTATCGTGTTTCCCGCCACGGCGACGGTTAACGCGTGCCCTGCGGCTCGCTAAGACCGGACCCACGCTGGTGGCCGTACTCCTTCGGGATACGTGTACACCACAAGCTGTAAAGCTTACACACACACACGCCCATACACACACACCCACAGAAAAAAACATACATTTCAAGTTACCTTCTTTTTACTGCTTTTACTAACTGCAGTGGCTCAGTGGTTCAAGATTGCATGTTTGAATCCATACCATAAAATCCACTTTACGATGAAGGCAGAATGCGAAAGCTTTTGGATGCAGATGCACATTAAAGGGGCCCAGCAACACTTTTATAAATAGCCATGGAATAAATTCACTAAAGGAGATTATTTCCTTACTAATTCACTGACGCAAAAATTTTAGAATCCGTATCATACGAGCAAAGTTGCAGCTTTGTCGCACGCTGAAATTACATTCTCTCACCCCAACCAAAGCACAGGAAGCTAAGCAGAGGACGGATGGCTTGGGCAAAGAAATTACGTCACGCATGCCTTGTGACCGTGAGCATTTTTTCTTTTTTTTTCTTTGCATGCATGGCTTTTCAGTGTGATTGCGCGCATGCGTGCACAAGTCAAGGTCGGACCATTAACGACAGAGCGCGTCATGCTCAAATCAGCCAATGGCTGATAGTTTGCCTGCATTGATTTTTAAGCCTGTAGGATCATTTGTTGAGACAAGAGAAAGCGATGTTCAGCTGACTTTGAGAATTCATTGTAAATTCCAGGCCCCGTACTATCATGTTTGGCTCGTGTGTTCTTGGAAGCCTCGACTACAGATCAGCAGCACTTTTTGAACGTGCTCAAAAAGTGTTGCAGGGTCCCTCTGAAGTACAGCCAGTCAAAATCAATCTAGAGCACTCCAACATGTCCCAGAATACTCTAAGATTCTTAAAATCCTCATGGCACTTGGAGACAAAACTAATGGATCACAAAATGCCTATTCTTCCTTCCATTTTCTACATACCTGACTAAGCTAAACAGCAATCATTTTCCATAATTATTGAACACAGAAATTTTCACAAGAGAGAAGTAAATGGGTGCAACACGGATATGTACAACAACGAAAAATTGCCCACAGTCATAAGTACATGTAAGATGCTCACAGCATTAAACAGAATGGTGAGGGCAAAATCACTTATATGTATCAGCCTACGCACCCCAGAAGAGCACCGAGTAGGGGGAAGGGGGTTGCAGAAAAATAGCATAAAATAAACTTTACCAAAAAATAAACAAAGAATATTGTACATTGGAAGGGAAAGAACACTATAGCGATGGCTGTAAAAAACTTTCAGCACTGAACCCTATTGCAATTATTATTCTTTTTTTTTCTTATAATAATTATCCTCTTTGAAGGTCAGCATCTGTTTTGAAACTTCCTCAGCATCTTAGCCCTCCCCTTTCTTTAGTGCTTCTTTTTTTTTTTTTTTTGTAAGATATAAACGCACATCAGTTTACTCAGTTTACCTCCTATCACAGTAGTAAGTGAGCATTCATGTTCAATGAGCAATGCAAATTTGAATTCTGGGAATTCCCTAACTAGATCTAAATGCATCAAGTGTCACTGAGATTTTTATTGATATGTTTAACATTTACATTTGATCCGCAGGTCACGTCTGCAGGGTGCTTTGGGAGACTTACCAAAATCATGATTTCCATAGACGGCGCAGTCAACCTTGCAACAATTTAGGACGGGTACCATCTGCTCGCCTTTGGTGAATGTGCTCACTGCAAGTGAAAGCAAACACTGCATGCCTATGAGTCTCCAATGTCAGAGGGCTCACAACTTAATGCTTGATACTGTATGCTTTTTCTCTTTTTTCTAGTACCTGGTTGCACCAAGTGTACAAATATATAACAAAACTGTATATTGTACACCAGTTGACTTCTGTGTTAAATGAACACTGGATAAATAATACATTTTTCTAGAGTTTCAAAGCAGAAAACTAAGAAATTGAGATTTTTTAAAGTTCAAGGGAGGTAAACATGAAGATTACTTCCTACATAAGTTCTGAAGCAGTCATAAAGATAATCTCCACACATTTGCCAAATCCAAACAACCCAGAGATAGTGAACTTGATAAGGCAAACTACTTTATGTAGATTTTGAATCTGTGCTCTACAAATCTCCACCAAACAAACTTTATCATTATGTTCTTTTTCAGCCTAGCAAGAAGTTGTAGGTGACATTCATGCAGCCTTCTAAAAACTACATGGGGACTGCCAACCACACTAGCTACCACAAAATAAAAAACCAGATTTTCAAAGTTTCACAAACCCTGCAGCCTTCAAACTTCAAAATAGCTGGATGATTGAAAAGCAGGTAATGCTGTGCTTACTCATATGCGACAAAGCACAGAGACGATCTCAAATAATCACTACATTTCCTTAACAAAGCCTTCCTGTTAGATACTGGAGCATGCGTACAGTACACGAGTACCTTCACAACAATAGCTTTTCTGCAGGAAATGAAGACATATTTACATGTGGTCATAATGGTGTAAAATTATTTTCCTTTTCCCATGACATACTATGTGAAGCCTTGAATAAGTCCTTCCCTTAATTTCACTAAACCATACAAAAAGCACCCCAAATATTGAAACCCTTTTTCCACATAAATTATCATCACTTGCTTTGGCTAACAGTGCTTCTAAAATTAATCACTGCTTCACTATGGGGCTTTCAAAGGTTTATGTTGGCAGTATAAAATCTTCTTAGAGCTAATACATTAGCTCTAAAACTATGGATGCTAGTATCCGTCTACAGATTGATTGATTGATTTGTGGGGTTTAACGTCCCAAAACCACCATATGATTATGAGAGACGCCGTAGTGGAGGGCTCCGGAAATTTTGACCACCTGGGGTTCTTTAACGTGCACCCAAATCTGAGCACACGGGCCTCGACATTTCCGCCTCCATCGGAAATGCAGCCGCCGCAGCCGGGATGTATCCGTCTACAGTTTCACGAGACTTGTTAACAAAAAAAAAAGCTATTGACACAAAAAATGAGCTGGCACTTCAAGGTAACCTTGAGAGCAATCTTTTCTTTCATGCCGCAAGTTACTTAAGACTTTAATTTTTCCTGATGCAAGCACATTTCATTCCAATAAAAAAATTACCTGAGTTGGGTCGCAATACTAAATGACGTAGCTATTACATGAGTATACCGGTGTCAAACAGGCACTTTTAATCGCAACCAGGGCGATCCGGATGAGTTTTCTCGATCGCGATGAACTTTACGATCGCTGCTACACGGCCCATGCTGACCCGGTTCTAGCTTAGGTCAGATTAAATGCACCAGGTGGCGCTTGCATGTCGTAAAACATAGACTTCTCGCCCTACTTCCGAGCTGTGCAGACGTATTTTCGTGCGCTCTGCCTGTTCGGCGGATTCAAGGTTGTGCAAGGTTGTCCAGAGTCGGTTCGTGCAGAAGCAGCGAGCAACGAGAGATAAGTTTCTTTTCATTTCTTTGTGTTTGTGAACACCATTATTATTTTTTCTCTCCTAATCAATCATTAGCGTTGCGAGTACTGTAGGTGTGGGACACGGGCAACGTTGTAGTGACGTTGACCACGTGAACGGACTAGGCGGCTGTTTTGAAGAAGGTCGGGGCGCCCGGTTAGTTGTTAAAGAGCTAGAGCCGAACACGAAGGGGACCTAGTGAGAGGCTACTAGCGAAACTGAACACGTATGTGTGCAATGTAGGCGGCAGCTTCAAACAGTTGTTGAGGTAGGAGAGTGAACAGATGCGGCTGGATAGCGAGATTTGAGTTAAACCTAGGGCTATCGGGCACTCGGTCCGATGGTCGGGCGGGCGATGGCTAAGAAGACTAGGGAAACCACGAACGAAAATGAGCTGGTGCAGTGCGAAGAATGCAAGCGCTGGTGCTACTTAGATGAGACAGCATTCACGAGTTTGGCCGATGCGCAGAAGGCGAGCTTCATGTGCAGGCTGTGCGAAGCACTGAAGGCGACCGTGCAGCGCATGGAGGCTAGCATCGAGGGGCTTCAGGGGGAGCTTAGGGCGGAACGGCAGCATAGGATAGAACTCCAAAAACAGCTCAGAGTGTTGCGTGAGTGGGGGGAGGCTACCGCCAGCCTATTAGAGCAAATGAAGGGCGACCTTCGAAAAGAACGGGAAGGGAGGACCGAGCTCGATCAGTGGGTAAAGAAGCTAATGGCGCTTTGCCCCGGCCCCGAGCGGTGTCAGACGGAAGGCGTGGGTAGCGGAGAAGGCGACAGGCGGAAAAGAACAGGGGAGAAAGGAGGTCAGGGGGCCGCAGTGTCTGGCCACAGCACGGAGGATTCGAGAACATACAGCTCGGTGGCGCGGCAGTCTTCAAGCACGGCAGAAACACAGGACAGACGGCAGAGAGAGAAACAGGTGAAGCAAACAGGGGCGCCATCACAAACAGGAAGCCAAATATTGGAGCGTAAAAGGGTCCTGGTGGTGGGGGACTCTTTTACGCTCCAATAAACGTGGCCAGGGTTAGGGATGGCGTCTTTAAGACAGTGAAGGAAGATGGGAGAGTCAGGATGGAGGCACAGTCAGGGAAGAGCATGGTGGATGCACTGGCCAAAGCTCAGGAGGTTGTAGAAAACTTTTTCTGTACCCACTCCTGCAATGTCCCAGGCATGGGACAGCAGTATTTGTAAATAAAAAAAATAAAAATAAAACAGCATGGAGGGCGAAAACCTAGTCATTATTCATGCTGGGCTCAATGATGTGTTGAAGGGCAAGGATCAGAACCTTCCAGGAAAGTTAGAGGATGGGATGCGTAAGCTCCGAGAAGCCTCTGGGAGTGTGCATGTGACCATATGCACAGCCCCAGATGTCTGGGGGCAGCCTCGTGGGATTGAAAAGAGGGTAGTGGAGGCCAATTGTGTGATCAAGCGTTTGAGCCGGCAACTCGGATACAGCGTAATGGAAGTTAACCAAGACGTGTACGAGCCCAGCGCTCACCCCTTTGCACAGGATGGCATTCACTACAGTGGTGCGACGGGCAGGAGCGTCAGTAACAGAATGGGTCGCCATGCCATAGCTTTATTAGGGGGACCTAAAGCCCTGAGGCCAACAGTTTAGCCAAAGACAGACCTAAAGGGGCACAAATATTCGAGCCACACGAAGTCCGTGGGAGAAGAAATCGGCGTAAGCACAAGGGCCGAGTTAAGACAGAGGTAGGCTATATTAACGTGCAGGGTGGCAGGAATAAGTTAAAGTGGGAAGAGATAGACGAGCAGTTGAGGCAGGAGGAGCTGATGATATATGGGGTTGTGGAAACACATCTTCGGGACATGGAGCAACCACCCTGCAATCCGGACTATGTATGGGAATATTGCAATAAAACAGAAGGCAGCAAAAAGAGGGATGGAATTGGTGCATTTATACATAAGAGCATGGGTTGGCAAAGACTCAAGCAGGGATGCATGGAACATTTATGGTTAAGAGGGAAAGTAGCTGGGCAGATGAGACTCCTTGGTTTGGTGTACTTGTGGACAGGAGCAAAGGCCAGAGAGGAAAACCAGGCAATGATGGAGTGTATATAAAGGACATTGAGGAATTAGGAGGAGAGTGCGAGATAATTATACTAGGAGATATAAATGCGCACATAGAAGATATAGATGAGTATACCGACACGACAGGCAAAATGATCATGGATATGTGTGAAAGGCATGATTTGATCATTTGCAACAGTACCGAGAAGTGTGAAGGGCCAATAACATGGGAGGTAGGAAGGCTGTAGTCCATGATAGATTACGTGCTGATGTCACATAGGATGTATGATAAGCTCAGGGGAATGCACATAGACGAAGGTGGCTCCAGAAGTCTGGGTAGTGATCACAAACCTATCAAGCTAAGTTTTTGAAGAGCAGTGAAAGTGGGAAGGAGACAAGATGAGCAACTACAGGAAAATTTTCATTCAGAAAGGCAAATAGAAATTGCTGCTAAACAAATTGGGAAAGTAATCACTGGGGATAATAAAACAGTGTGGACATACACAAATCTAATCAGACTGTTTGAGCTAGAGCTTGCTAAGGCACGTGACAAGTCACCCCAGAAAAGAAGACACAAGCCCAAGAGTTGATGGGATGAGGAAGTCAAGAGAGTCATAGCAAAACGTCAGGAAGCCTCTAGGGAACACAGACATGCTAAGCGGCGAAGTGAACCAATAGACGATGTTGAAAGAAAATGGGACACCTTTCTAAGCTCTAGAAGAAAAGCATGCCTCCTGATCAATGAAAAGATTAGAAGAAAGGGTTCTCAGTGGCTGGCAGAAGTACATAAAAAGGACAGAAAGACAGCTGCGAAATTTTGGAACCATCTAAACTCCCTAAGAAATGAATCAAGTCTAGAGCAGAGTTTTATAACTACAGCCCAAGGTGCCAGGCTAGAAGGGGACGAAGCTATTGAATATATAAGAACAAGGGTGACAGAAAAATTTCAACAAAGAAGTGCCTTATGCACCAGAATAGACGAGGATGGTTCTTGTGGTGCAATGGCTCCATTTTCACAACGAGAGTGGGAAAGGGCTGAGAAGAAGGTTCCAAGTAGTACATCAACAGGCCCAGATGGCATTCCAATTATGCTGATAAAGACATTGGGTCCGAAGTCTAAACAGACTTTGAGAGAGGCAGTATGCAGAACAATAATCGATGGTGAAGTCCCCGATGAATGAGAGCTTAGCAGGATGAGCATGATCTACAAAGGAAAGGGAAACAAAGCTGACA